TAAAACCTTTCAGTGGCTTCTGCTTTCACTCAGGGTCAAACCCCAAGTCCTTGCATTGGCCTAAGAGGCTCTACATAATCTGCCACCTGGGCACTTCTCTAACTTTATGTCCTCCTACCCCTTATTAAGTTTTTTTCTTTAAAAAAATTTTTTTAACGTTTACTTATTTTTGAGACAGAGAGAGACAGCACGAGCTGGGGAGGGGCAGAGAAAGGAAGACACAGAATCTGAAACAGGCTCCAGGCTCTGAGCTGTCAGCAGAGAGCCCAATGTGGGGCTCGAACCCACGGACCGCGAGATCATGCCCTGAGCTGAAGTTGGATGCCTAACTGACTGAGCCACCCAGGCGCCCTTGTTTAGTTTTTCCAACCACACTAGCCTGCTTGTTGTTGCTGACATTAAGCCAGGCATGCACGTCACTCAGCCCTTTGTGAGTGACTGCTCTTAACCTCTGCCAGGAAACACTTTTTCCATGATCCACATAGCTCACTTCCTTGTTTCGAATATTTGCCCAAATGTCATCTTTTCTTTTTTTTTTTTTTTAACGTTTTATTTATTTCTGAGAGAAAGAGACACAGTGTGAGCAAGGGAAGGTCAGAGAGAGAGGGAGATACAGAATCTGAAGCAGGCTCCAGCCTCTGAGCTAGCTGTCAGCACAGAGTCCGACGCGGGGCTTGAACCCACAAACTGTGAGATCATGACCTGAGCCAAAGTCGGATGCTCGACCAACTGAGCCCCCCAGACGCCCGTCACCTTCTTTTCTAACCGTCTATTTAAAATTGCAAAGTATCCCCTCCATCCTTCATTTTTAGCCATAGCATTTACCACCATCTGACATATTTTATTTTACTTGTCTGTCTCACTATATTCAATTCCCTGTATATAATTTCAGTGAGGGTATAAAGGATACCTAATGAAGAAACAGGAAGGCAGCACGCACAAGGTGCTCAGCTGAATCACATTTTGCAGGGATCTATGTCCTGCATGTGTTACTATACCTTTAGTTCAGCGATACAAAGATGTAAAACATGTCATAACCACAGACTAAGACTGAAGGACCTTAAAATGTAGTCTTCTTAGCTAATCTCTCCTTACCTTCCTCCCACAAGTGGAGGCTGGATGGCCTTCTACACCTAACACAAGCCTTACTATTAGAAGTCAAGAGGAAAATACATACATACAGGAGGCCTGCTCTGCCACATATGACTTTACATCATTGATGATGTTAATTCTAAAACAGCGAAGACTTAAAATTATAGCAGAAAGGAGAACCCTTCCCCCCAGTCTCACCTCAAGATTCACCATAACAAAATTATGGGAAAGTTCTGAAATTTCTGTAGATTCTGCAAATTTGGGCTTTAAAGCTAGGAGGGAAAAAAAAGATTTTGGAATATAAGAAAACATCACTGTCATATGCAAACCCTAATTTGCTGAGTTGATTCAAATAACTGAACTTCTTTCTTTTTTTTAAACTCCTAAGAACCAGAAATCAGGACACCTGAATTCTGGTCATGTTTCTGCCACTTATTCACACAGGTAGGTGACCTAGAGTGACTGACTTCATTTCTCTGAAAACACAGATAATGGCATATAATGAAAAAATTATTTCTATTTGCTTTTTACAGTCACAGGTCAGTAACTTCTATTGAAATAACAGAAAAAAGAGTAACATATATGTTTATATACATATAATTATATATATGTATATAAAATTGCACTATTTTATATATATGTATGTATATAAAATTACACTATTTGCACTAATTTTCTACTCCTTTTCCAACTTCTGTAGAGTGTAGCATACCAAAGAAAAAACCTGACTAGGAAGTGGTAAGGTGGCAAAGCAGAAAGACTACAGGCCACAAATAATACTGGGTTCTAAATTTGGTTCCCACCTCCTCCAGGAAGACTTCTGTAATCACTTCTCATGTTTCTGTACATTTCAGCTTCCTATATTTACTGTCCATACAACTACTATAGCGCTTAATACTATACTCTGACTATATCTCAATTGCTTTACTCTCTAATCCCTTGCAAAGATAACTGCAAACTTCTTGAGGGCAGGGAATCTATGTCATACATATTTCTTTGGTATCCCTTAGAGCAATCAGCACTCCTGGCACAAAGTCTGTGCCAATTTAATGTTTTTTTTTTTAATTTATTTTTTAAAAATGTTTTTTTTTGAGAGAGACAGAGACAGAGTGTGAGCTGGGGAGGGGCAGGGAGAGAGAGGGCTGAAGTCAGATGCTTAACTGACTGAGCCCCTCAGGCACCCCTGTGCTAATGGTTTTTATTAAATGTTAGTACTTAAAAACACATTTGAGGTTTGATTATTTGCACTTACCTTTGCAAGCTCCACACCAGGATTTATGGATGATCACCATTAGGGGCAAGCCACTTAAAAAGAAAACAAAGAAATTATAATCTAATAATTCCACTTCTTTAAGTCTATCCTAATAAAGTGATCATATATAAAGACAAAGATAGTTCATGTAGTATTATGATTTTAAGAAAACTTTTAGACAACCTAAATATTCAAGAATAGAGTATAATAAAATTATTATAAAATTATTGTATAAGTTCTGACATTCCTATAAATTCTGAAAATTTGGGCTTTAAAGCTAGGAAGAAAAGGCTGTAGAAAAGAACATCAAATCATGATATTTCTAAATGTTATGGTTACATAACCATTGAAAATGTTTATAAAATTTTTCATTGGTATGTCAAATTAAACTAGAATGGGCACTTGGCTGGCTCAGTCAGTGGATCACATGACTCCTGATCTCAGGGTCACGAATTTAAACCCCATGTTGGGTGTAGAGCTTACTTAAAAAAAAAAAAAAAAAAAAAAAAGAATACAAAATTGTCATCTATAGTTTGGATTTAATTGTATAACTATATATAGGGGAAAGACCTTAAAATAAAATGAAATATACCAAAACATAATAGTTATCCCTAGATAATGGGATTGTGGATTTTACTATACTTTTTCTATATTTTCCATTTTTTTCCTACAATTAAGTGTAATTTTTATAATCAGGGAGGAAACAACTTTTTCTTTTTTAAAATGATGAGCAATATCATCTACCTGAACCAGTCTTGGCCAAATGAAGTCCTTAAGCTCTCAAGGCTTAAATGTCAACTTGTAAGAAAGTCCTACGTAAGCAGCCATTGGCTTTCTGAATCATCCAATCACCGTTATCAGCACACTACATAACAGATCATTGTATGTACTATATTAAACTCTATTACTTATCCATCTCCCTGCAATAGACTTGGGAGTTTCCTTAAGGAAAGAACTCAGCTTTCTCTACATGCCCTACATGTGGCACATAGAATATTATTGATAGCAAACACTTGCATAGCATTTACTATGTACCCAGCACTATTCTAAATATACATAAATTAATTAATTTAGTTAAGTGTCAAGTGAATTATTCAGTACCTCATTAGAGGCCTACTACAAATCTGGGATGAATTTATAACTCTTAATACTTGTAAAAGCCAAGTAAGCAGGGCAAACTTAAGTGAGAAGTAGGATCTAACTAAGCATATGCATTCTGCTATGTGCTTTACAGGCATTATCTCATTTAAATCCTCATAACAATCCTAATATATATACTATTAATGTTCTCATAACAGAAATGAGAAAATTGAGACTCCCCAGAGATTAAGTATTTAGCCACATAAAATCTAGGTTCTGCACCCACTACCTAATTCATTAAGTCTGACTCCAAAACCAAGGACCATTACTGTCTACTTCAACTTAGAATGGCAATCCACAACCAATAACTAACTTTGAATCAGAGAACAGAGATTGGAAAAAGCATTAGAAGTTGCCTAGTCCAAACTTCCATTTTACACAGGAATTCTAACATGTATCATCTAATATAGCATATGTAACTATAATATATCCAATATAACAACAGGTGGTCCAAATTGCCTGGTGAGCAAGAAACCCATCACCAACCAGGGTAGCCCATCCTTTTAATAGCTCCATGCACTTACAGAGCAGTTTAGAATGCCTTGTTCCCTCCTCCCTCCCTGGTAAACTTTTATTTATCCTTCTAGAGCAGAGATCAGGAAACTACTCTGCAGACCTGATCCAGTCCACTGCCTGCTTCTATAGAGGTGTAAGATATAAACTTTTTTTTTCATTTTTAAATGGCTGAAAAACAAATCTAAAAATAGTACCTCATGATATGTTAAAATTAAATATAATTCACATTTCAGTGTAGTTTTATTAAAACACACTTATACTGAGGTGTCTGGCTGGCTTAGTTGGAAGAGTATGCAATTCATGATCTCAGGGTCGTGAGTTTGAGCCCCACTTGGGTATAGAGATTACTTAAATAAACTTAAAACACATACACACTCATATTCAGTTGTATACTTACTGTATATGGCTGCTTTTGTGCTAAAATGCACTACAGTTAATAAGCTACAACAGATACCCTATGGCCCACAAAGCCTAAAACATTTACTATTAGATCCTTTGCTGACACATGTTCTACTGTGACAGGCCAAATGTTAACCCCTCTGCGAAGCCTTCCCAAAACTATCTTCTCTCAACAGCTAATTAGTCCTTTCCTCCTCTGGGGTCCCAAACCATTGTGTTATCATCATGTAAACACCAACACTTTTCATACCATAATCATGTTTACTTGTCTGTATTTCTCACCAAACTATTAATTTTTCAAGCATAACAACAGTATCTAATTCCTCTTTGAAAATCACAAGTACTGATTTTTATTTAATAAAATTAATGAAGGAATGAAAAGAGCTTAAAGTGATATTTGCCTTGAAATACAGAATGAAGCACACTTATGGAAGTTGTCATCATCAGTCTAGGTTAGGCCAAACATCCAGTCTCAATAAGCACTGTCAAAGAACTATTTCGGTCAAAGTTATAACAGTGATAAATGTTTTTATAAATGTTACATTAAGTAAATTACATGCAGAACATTAAGTTACATGAAGCGAAAGAGATTCCGGCAGACTTTCTTCTTCTAAAAGACTTTATTAGATATAAATTCTAATAGTTACGTCTTTTGCTTCCACTAGAAGTAAAGCTTCCCAAGGACAGAAACCAGTGGATTTATCGGAGATCCCTGGCCCCAGGACAGACTAGCAAAAAGTAGGCACAGTACTTGAAAAACTGTGGTATGAAAGAAGGGCCAGTGCAGATGCAGAACTGTGACATCTTCAGTTTCCACTCACAATTGTTTAAAAACAATTCATCCATTCAGTCTGTTCTACAAGTCAGATGCGGAAAATCCTGGGTGTGTGACACCAAATGTAGAACCCAATCTAAACAAACTCTGCCCACCTGAGCTCTGTCCCTAGAGAAATTTGCCAATTCTCCAAGCCAGTTCTCCGTTTTCTCTAGTCTCAATTTATGCTGTTAACTAAAAAGCATTCAGATAGAGGAAAATGTGAGTAAAATCAGTCACAACAGCTGTAGTACTAGATACCAACATGCTATGCAGACCTTCGGATTACTGTCTCAAGAAACACAGAGAGCAGTGGAGGTTAGACAAGGAGCCAGGGCTTTTCCCCCACACCCCTCTGTTTAGTGCAGGCTCTGGCTCAAATACTGCAGAAACATGTTGGCCAGTTGAGGCAGGTTCTCATTGTTGGGATGCATTTTGGTATAGGAAATAAACTGGCGACGGAGACGACTCAGTTCTGCCATGGTCAAAGGCCGGGTAAACTGCAGGTGCTCCGTGGTGCCAGGAAGCTTAAGCAAGTCTCCAGGAACCGCGTTCTTCTGAGCCTCCATCAGTCCCGCCAACACCTGGTTGGTGACCTGATCCAACTGGTGCAGAAAACTGCCGGAGGCAAGGGGCTGGGACTGTGTAGACTGATGGGGTGGGGGAGCCTGGTTCTCAAACAAGGCGGCCCGTATCTCTGCCAGGGGTAATGGCTCCTCTAAACCCACCAAGGTGAACAGGGGCCGATCCCAGCGGTTTCGAGAGTCGGGAGCTTCAAAACGCTGCGTTAAGGCCTCCATAAGTTCAGGAGAGTAAAAGGCACTAGCCATACGCTTAGCACCTGTATCAAATTCTGGAGTCACAGGAGCTGGAAGATCTGGCGCCCTGGTTTCCTCCTGTTCCAGCTCCTTAGCTATATCTGCTTGGGTTCTCCCACTTACTACGGAGTCCACAGCTTGTGGTTCCCTGAGGACACAGCTAGCCGCCGCCAGAGGTCTCCCTCTCTCCTCAGTGCGCGGCCTCCAGCTCACGCTGGGGTTCCGGCCTTGGTGGTCCACCGCATCAGCTTCCGGAGGTCCCCCGCTCACACCGCCCCGCCGTATGCAATATACCAGGCAGAGCGGAGTGCGCGCCGCCCGCGCCAGGCAATAGAGCTCATAGCGGAAGCCCTTGATGTAGTTAAGCGAGTCGAGGATGACCACATCGTGGCGACTCAGGCGCCGCTCCACTGCGGCTCGCAAGGCCCCGCGCAAGGCCTTCTCACGGGCCGAATCACCATACACCGTCGCGTCCTCCGTACCCAGCACCAACGCGTCATCCACCACGTACACCGCGCGGCCGTCGACCGCTAGCGCTCCACGGAGCTCGTCCGCCCGCCGGCTCTTACCGCTGTACGGAAGCCCGCAAAACACTACGAGCGGCATCCCTACAGGACGCGGCCATGTGCAAACGGGCAGCGTCACTTCCGGGTTGCTGAACTCTCCGACGCAAACCGGAAGAGAAAATTGCACTTCCCGTCCCTCTCTAGTCATAAACGGACTTATTGTTGCTATGGAAACATGAGATCTACTCCAACTAAACTCAGGATCTGCTCTCAGGAAAAAGAGGGAAACAAGAATGACATCAGTTATTTATGTATGTAGGCCTATAAATAGGCCTCAAGAGAATGTGATCTGCCAAAGACTGCCCAACTGTTTCTAATAGGGCTCTAAGGAGCATTAAACACTGCAAAACAATCAGTACTATATTTATCATACATAGACCATTCACAAATGCTAGTTCCTGTCTTTCCTTACACTCAGTGATTCTCAGTAACTGTTTACTCAACAACCATTTCAATCATTCAACTTCTCCATGATTGGTAATTCATAAATGAACATAAAACAGTTTCCCCATAGAAGTCTGAATGGGAAAAATAAAGCACCTTACAAGCAAAGTAAGATATACTTTGGAATAGTATGGATAGAATACGTGGTTGAAATATAAAAGTATAAAAGAGAAAAACAAACTGCCCCAAAAAATCATTTAAGACTTTATCTAGACATAGTCATTTGATTTAGAATTTGAAAAACTGGGGGGCCTGGATGGCTCAGTCCATAAAGTGGGGGACTTGGGCTCAGCTCACGATCTCCCAGTCTGAGTTCCAGCCCAGCGTCGGGCTCTGTGCTGACAGGTCAGAGCCTGGAACCTGCTTGGGATTCTGTATCTCCCTCTCTCTCTGCCAGCCCCCCGCCCCCCCCTCCATTGTTCATGCTCTCTTTCTCAACATAAATAAACATTAAAAAAAAAAAAGAAATTGAGAAACTAACATAAATTTTTCTCTGGGGTAAAGTTGCTTGATAATATACAGGATGCCTAGTCCAATTTGAATTTCAGATAAGCAACATAAAATGTTTTTAATGTGTCTCAAATATTGAATGGGCCATATTTAAAACTACTTATTATTTACCTGAAATTCAAATTGAACGAGGCATCCTTAGTTTTATTTGCTAAATCTGGCAACCCTATTCTACAGAATGTGTAAGACTCAAAGTCATTAAGCTATAGGATCTGTTCCAGCAAAAGCAAGCACTATGCAGTTGACCCTTGAAAAACAGGGGTTTGGATTGCACAGGTACACTTATAATGCAGATTTTTCACAGCACAGTACTATAAGTGTATTTTCTCTTCCTTATAACTTTCTTAACATTTTCTTTTCTCTAGCTTACTTTGTTATAAGAATACAGTATATACTACATGTAACATACAAAATATGTGTTAATGGACTGTTTATGTTATCAGTGAGGATTCCTGTCAACAGTAGGTTACTAGTAGTTAACTAGTAGTTTTGGGGAGTCAACAGTTATATGCAGATTTTGACTAAGTAGGTGGTCAGCACCCCTAAACCTACATCCCAGCATTGTTTAAGGGTCAGTTATAGTTTTGTAGGTGCAGAAGTGTGAGAGTTTCTGTGCAAGTATGTAGGTGTATAAAGTAGATGCACAGGAGTGCCTAGGTGGCTCAACTGGTTAAGTGTCCAACTCTTAATTTCAGGTCTGGTCATGATCTCACAGTTCATGAGTTCAAGCCCCACATCAGGCTCTGCACTGGCAGCACAGAACCTGTTTGGGATTCTCTCATTCTTTCCTTCTCTCTAACCCTCCCCTGCTTGTGCTTGTTCTTTCTCTCTCTCTCTCAAAATAAATAAATAAACATTAAAGCATTTTTTAAATAAAGTAGATATATTGGGTCATTGCATCTCTCCAGTATAGTATTATAGAGAACATTCAAGTATTGACTCTATCAATTACTACCTGTGTAATCATTTGACAAATTTTTCAATATTCTGTGTCTCCATTCCTCTCCCATGCAATAACAACAACAGCTCTTATTTCAGTCTGAACCAACCTCACAGGTTATGAAAATTAAATACATTAATGCATGTAAAGCACTTAGATCAGTATTTAACCTTCCCTCTCTGCTCTGCCTTTTCTTCCTCCTTTGCATCAGTTATTTGCATCAGTGCATAGACTAAACTTAACTGAAACTCAAAACTATTCAATTTGAGACTGTTAGGCAGTATGGTTTACTGGTGGGCTGCAGACGCTACAGCTATAGTATCTGGGTCTGAATCTTGGCTCCACCACTTACTAGCTATGTGATCTTGAGGAAGTTACTTAACTGCTCTGTGTCTTAGTTTTCTCATCTCTAAAATGAAGGTAACAGCATTACCCACCTCAAAAGAGTTCTTGTGAGAATTAAATGAGTTAATTCAAATAATTCAGTGTCTGGTGCATAATAAGCACTTATCAAATGCTAACTACTATTGCTTTTTTTAATGTTTGTTTATTTTTTGAGAGAGAGAGAGAGAGCAAGCTGAGGAGGGGCAGAAAGAGAGAGGAAGAAATACCAAGCAGGCTCCACAGTGTCAGCACAGAGCCCGATGTGGGGCTCGAACTCACGAACTGTGAGATCATGACCTGAGCTGAAACCAAAAGTTGGACACTCAACCAACTGAGCCATCCAGGCACCCCAACTAGTATTGTTGTTATTGTTATCATCAGGCAACTCCCCAGTTCTGGCTCTGTTTTGGCATAACCCTTCACCTGAAATTAATGTTAAACTGATGGCTAGAAGGTGTTTTACCACCATAAATAACCTGCTGAATGTATTTTCTTTTTAAAGCAATCTCTAGGCCCAATGTGGGATTGTACTAGTGACACCAAGATCAAGAGTTGCACGCTCTACGTGATGAGCCAACCAGGCACCCCTCTCACCATAAATAACCTAAAACCATATCTTGTACCTGGCAGCTGCTTCCTTCTTCCCATCTTCTAGTGTCCTCCAATGAATGTGATCTCCAAAACCTGGAAGGAAAAAGCCTTGTAAACATTCACCCGTGAACAAAGGACAAAGACCCAAAAAAGAGAAATGTGGTGTGTTCACAAGGTAGCCATAAAAAAGTTTTCCCTCTGTAAAGAATATGGTGTTTAAGTCTCAGCTCTACCACTTTCTAGGCGTATGGGACCCTGAATGGTCCCATACCTCAAACCTCAGTTTACTTTCACACATATAAAACAGACAACATGACCTAATTCATAATTTTTAAGAAGAGTAAATAATGGCTGTGAAATCCTTTAACACAGAGTATGCAAATAATACTATAAGCATAAATGAGAACTTTCCACAAAGTAAACATAAAATAAGTCATTACAAATCATTACTAGTTGGAGACAATATAGCAACATAGGTTTAGAGTCAGAAATATAAGGGTACGGGGCGCTTGGGTAGCTCAGTGGTTAAGCATCCAACTGTGGCTCAGGTCATGATCTCATGGTTTGTGGGTTCAAGCCCTGCCTCAGGCTATTGTGCTGGAGCCTGATTTGGATTCTGTGTCTCTCTCCCTCTTTGCCCCTCCCCTGCTCTTGCTCTGTCTCTCTCTCTCTGTCTCAAAAATAAACATTGAAAAAAAAAACAAGGGTATTTGATTCTACTTCCTATTAAATGTGTGAATTTTGTGAATGTAGTGGGTTCTCCAAGTCCCAATTTCTCCATCTTTAAAATCAAGATAATAATACCTACCTCCAAGTGTTGGTATAAAGATTAAATGAGATAATTTATCTAAAGCTACTCTTAATTTTCCCCTCACTTCCACCAAAATCACACCTCTGTTAGGTCAAAACCTTCCAGAGGCTCTCCAATTGTCTAAAAAGAAAGGTCAAATTCTGGTAGCAGGACTTATAAAGCCATTCCAAATATGGCACCTGCCCATCTCCTCAGGCTTACTTTCTGTACTTTTTCTACAATCCTCTATACAAAACTATTTTCATTTCCTTAAACTCAGCATGCACTGTCTCCCCTCCAGCTTTCATAATTATTGCCTCCTCTGCCCTTCCTTCCACCCTCATTTCCAATTTATTCAAGTACAAAACCAGAGGGCATCATTACGTCTGGTAAATCTTCCCTGACTCCCAAAGCAGCCTATTCTTGCCCCATCACAGCACTTCCCAGGCTGAACTGTAAATGTTTATGTGCCTGTCTCCCTCACACTAAAGAGAATTCCCTAAGGCTGAGGCCACATCTGTATTATTCTCTCCTGTTTCCCCAGCTTTGAGCATTACACATGGCCATAGTAAGTGCTCCATAAAATATTTATTGAGTAAATGAATCTTATATAGGCCATATCATGTAAATGACTTAATTTTATTATTTGGACAATGTTAAGTGATCAAAATAATACTATCATTTATTAGCCCCTCACATATGCTCATGTTAACTACACATGTTATCTCATTTAAATTTGGCCTTGGAGTACCTGGGTGGTTCAGTCGGTTAATTGTTTCACTTCAGCTCAGGTCATGATCTCATGGTTTGTGGGTTCAAGCCCCAGTTGGGCTCTGTGCTGACAGCTCAGAGCCTGGAGCCTGGCTAGGATTCTGTGTTTACCTCTCTCTGCCCTTCCCCTGTTTGTGTTCTGTCTCTATCTCAAAAAATAAATAAACATTAAAAAAATTTGGCCTTGGGGCACCTGGGTGGCTCAGTCAGTTAAGCGACTGGCTTTGGCTCAAGTCATGATCTCCCCGTTTGTGGGTTCGAGCCCCATGATATGCTCTGTGCTGACAGCTAGCTCAGAGCCTGGAACCTGTTTTGGATTTTGTGTCTCCCTCTCTCTCTGACCCTCCCCTGCTCACACTGTCTCTCTCTCTCTCTCTCTCTCAGAAATAAATAAAACATTAAAAAAAAGTTTTTTTAATTTGGCCTTAACAGTAACCCTCTACTTCTTCAGTTTTCTCATCAGTAAAATAGGTAAAATAATAGCTGAATCTCATAAGATTGCTACTGGATATTACATAACAAATAAGAATATATAGTACCTTAGCACACTGCTTAGCACTTATAAATGATTAGTAAATAGCAGCTCTTTTTATGCTTTTCCTTTGAGACT